TCAAAGCCGATTTTCTCGACAACGAAGCTTCGAATGAAAAAATTTTATTCTTCATTTTCGATTCGTTTTTTCACGTAGAATCGCCCCTTATAGGTTATATTATCATTGCTGGGATATTCTGTATTTTACACAACGTACGTCTATTATATCTTTTGTCTTAGGTTAACACTGACTCTATTGTACGTGTTCTGAGCTTTTGTGTCTTTAAATTTGCTTTTTCAGGTAGAATCACCTGTATCGATGGTCTACCCATCTAAATCGTAGTACACTATCAGTTAGTCAGTCTAAAAGCTGCCAGTTACGAGTCGTAAAAATCAATTTTAGAAGTCAGCTGTGAGAAAATTGTCAGAACGTGAGAGTAAAAGGTTGGGCGAGGTCGTGGTCAGCCGGGACAAGTCTTGCATTCTTGTATTCCATCTCGATTCAGCGATACAACACGAATATTGGCCTAATGGTCATTATTCTTGCATATATTTTGGGTACGTTGATTAGTATATTCGGAACGTGATTTTCGTATTTCCAAAAATTATTATGAAATACATCGTTTATTTTTCCTCGGCTGCGTTTCATTGGCCGATGCAAGACGCATCGACGATAACATTGCAAGAGGCACGCGACGCTGCACTGACGGGAGACGCATGAATGAGTAAGCGTCGAGCGTTGGGCGTCGCGCGTCGACGCCGGCGTCGACGCACGACGCCTAGAGAGCTTTCAAAGCGCATGCGAAGGAACTTGACGAGCGGCAAACTCGTCGGAACCGTGGCCCGCGTTTCCAGTTTAATCGACGTCGTTTCCCGTCGCACGACGCATCGATTTTGCTCCCAGTGAGCGCTCCGCTTGGAAAACACCGCGGCAGACAGTGAAATTCGACGATGTCATCGAACTATTTATTTATCGATAATTCATAATACTTCTGAAAAATCAACGAAATAAAAATCTAAAAGAACTTCAATTTCTAAGATTATTTCTACGTTCAAATTATAAATTAAAATTTTGTGCTCCTTTCGGTGATACGTTTAAAAATACAATAATGCTAAGCAAATAAGTATAGCAAATAAACAGTATAAAATATAATCATCGATCAAATAAAAATTTATTCGCATTTAACAGTGAGAAGATTACTAGTAACTAAACTGTTAGTAAACTACTAGTTAGTTCTATCTACTAATTAAAATTCTGCGCTCCTTTTGGTGATACATTTAAAAATATAATAATACTAAACAAATAAGTACAGTAAATAAACAAAATATAAAATATAATCGTAAATCAACTGAACATTTATTCGTATTTAACAGTAAGAAGAGTACTAGTAAGTAGACTGTTAGTAAACTACTTGTATCTAGTAATTAAAATTCTGTGTTCCTTTTGGTGATACATTTAAAAATATAATAATACTAAACAAATAAGTAGAGTAAATAAACAAAATATAAAATATAATCGTAAATCAACTGAACATTTATTCGTATTTAACAGTAAGAAGACTACTAGTAAGTAGACTGTTAGTAAACTACTAGTTGTATCTAGTAATTAAAATTCTGTGCTCCTTTTGGTGATACATTTAAAAATATAATAATACTAAGAAAATAAGTAGAGTAAATAAACAAAATATAAAATATAATCGTAAATCAACTGAACATTTATTCGTATTTAACAGTAAGAAGACTACCAGTAAGTAGACTGTTAGTAAACTACTAGTTGTATCTAGTAATTAAAATTCTGTGCTCCTTTTGGTGATACATTTAAAAATATAATAATACTAAGAAAATAAGTAGAGTAAATAAACAAAATATAAAATATAATCGTAAATCAACTGAACATTTATTCGTATTTAACAGTAAGAAGACTACCAGTAAGTGGACTGTTAGTAAATTACTAGTTGTATCTAGTAATTAAAATTCTGTGCTCTTTTTGGTGAAACATTTAAAAATACAATAAAACAGTATAAAATATAATCGTCGATCAACTGAAAATTTATTTACATTTAATAGTGAGAAGAAGAAACAAGAAATATAGTAGTCTAGTAGTTTAGTAGTCTAACGCGTGCCAGTGAGATTTAGAAGATCAAGAGTGTCCTGCGAAAGCACCTTCGAGTCGTTGAACTATGGTCTCCGTACCACTATACTCTTGACCTTGCAGAAATTTGTACAAGAGGATTTGTACAGTGTTGTACAGTAAGAGGATCATAATTGCACTTCGTGTTCTTATATAGTGGTTGTTTAAAGAAATTTCATAAGTAATCATGGACAAAATGAAATATCTCGAGACCACACGGGAAAATGGCACCAGTGGATCCATTGACGACGAATCTCCGATGTGCAGGGACAAAATCTCGACTTTTGAACGAAATTAAATTGATCGAAATCTGGGAATCAGTGCACGCAACGAGAAGATAAAAGTCGTATTCGATATTAAAAATGCGTACTCGATACAAAACAAAAGCGCTTGAAATTTGTAATAAAAGAATTCGGAGAATTCTTGGAGAATAGGAGAAACTAGGAATCCTAAGATATTCACAGAAAGAAAAGAAAAACGAAAAGAAACGCGAGGAATAGATTTCCCATTGAAAGAAATTTGTGATAAAAGAATTCAAAAAATTCTTCGAGAATAGGACAAACCAGAAATCCTAAAACATTCACAGAAGGAAAAGAAAAACAAAAGGAAACGCGAAGAATAGATTTCCCATTGAAAGAAATTTGTGATAAAAGAATTCGAAAAATTCTCGAAGAATAGAAGAAATCAGAATTCTTAAAATATTTACAGAAAGAAAAGAAAAACGAAAAGAAACGCGAGGAATAGATTTTCCATTAAAAGAAATTTGTGATAAAAGAATTCAAAAAATTCTTCGAGAATAGGACATACCAGAAATCCTAAAACATTCACAGAAAGAAAAGAAAAACAAAAGGAAACGCGAGGAATAGATTTCCCATTGAAAGAAATTTGTGATAAAAGAATTCGAAAAATTCTCGAAGAATAGAAGAAATCAGAATTCTTAAAATATTCACAGAAAGGAAAAAGAAACGCGAGGAACGGTTTTCCTGTCAAAATTTCGTATTCAAATACGCGTTTGAATATTTCGGATCGAAAACACGCGAGAGATAAGTCGACAGATACGAGCTGCTCCGCAGGAGGCGATCGAAATTCGGGGTCGTGCAGTCAGCCAGTTTCGCAAATGATAAATCAAACCTAGCAATCTTATTCGTGCTCGTTGTTGCGAAAAATTGAAGAAAAACGTCGAGAGACTATTTCCACTGCTATTTCCAAAACTGATAAGACGAAGACACACCGATAACGCTACTCGTTAAAATAAAACAGAGCGAGACGAAAGGAGACTGTCAGACGAGACATGTCCGTCCAGCCGGATCCCCTGATTTCTACTCTCGTCGATGCATCACTGAAGGGAGAAATCGGACAGACAGGTTGACGCATCCAGATTTCATTAGACGCAAAGTCAGTCTTCGATCGAGTTGTCCTCCGGAAATGATCCCTGTACATCTCGAATAGCTTGAAGGTCGCTATTCGAAGAGGAAGTCCAGCGTCCAGCTGCGTTCCAGCGTGGACTATTTACGTATCCCGTGCTTTCATTGCGTTTATCTTCCGAGAAAACTCGTTGATGTATCGCGATTATTTGTTGTCATTCGAGCTGCCACCGTGGTCGAAGAATCTTCGAAACAGTGACTCAAACTCGTGGATGCTCAAACTCGAGAGGTGAACTCATTGCGAGTCGAAGACAGAGGTGAACTCATCGAAACTCGAAGACAGTTTAGCAGGAAATGCATGTGACTTATAAGCGTTCGAAATGACCAAAGATGACAGTAGCATAAAGGTGACTCTGTCTTGCGCTACTTAGGCGGGTTAGGCTATTTCGTGGACCATTTGAGATCATCTTGGAGACATACAGAGGATTGTGGACATCCTAGAATAGGCTCTATTTTCGCCTGGGGAGCATTCGTTGCCAGGAGTCTAGGAGACTTTGCAGAACTTGAAACGCCGCAGGCTTTCGAGGAATATTTTAGAGACTGCTGACGTGTCTTATGCTCTTGCTCGCAATACTTCATACCTAATTTGAAACATCCTGGAACGTCGGGAGAGCAACTTCTGAAACGTTTACCAGTTACGGTTTTCGCCTGTTAGAACTTTTGCAATTTCGTTAATTTCCGAAATCGAGATATCGATCAGCGATCTTGGCAGTTATCGGGCCAATGATTTTCGCTGAGCAGGTGCTGATGTTGACAGAGACGAATAGGGAGAATAGATGATTTGGGAATACAGGAAACTATGTTTCTACGGAATAATCGAGGAATTCCAGAGGTACAGAAATAGAGAAGTAAATTATTATAGCCTGCCACTCTTATGGCAGCAGTTAGAAACATCCAATGTTTGTTGACACTGCGGAGAATTTAAAGCTACACGCAACGAGAGCAACATTCTTTGCAGTTTGTGGCGAGTACTTGTCATTCGTTCGGAAAAATAGAACGACTCGAACGTCGTGAACATGGAAGAACGTTTTTAAATTTTTAAAACATTTATGCTGCTTCCTATGAAAAGATCGATATCTGCGAAGAGACTCTGAAATTTGGAAATATTAAAATGGTACTTTCTATGAAGAGACTCTGTGAAATTTGGGAACATTAAAAGACACGAAGAGAATATTAAATGTTCCGGAAGAATTTGGGAAAAGGTTCCGAAATTATCGATTTCAGCGATTTCAGTGAAAAGAAATCGAATTCATTTTGAAATCGAATGACCGACTGCTACCTGAATTCGATGTTCATCTAACGAGAAAACTTCGAAGCCTGGTAGAAGTCAATAAGAAGAAAGAAACCTATCCAAGACAAGTGGCATCCATTTCATCTCCAGTTATCTCGCGGTGACTATTCTTACAACTTCGTTTGAGTTTCGTCGAAGCGGAATTTACCTCTTTACTGATCAAACTGAGCAGATAATTTTCTAAAGAACAGAAGCTCGCTCGTTTTTCACGATCGCTGTAATAATTTCAAGCGACTAATGAAAAGCACGGTCGTAAATCCTCAAATCGTCAAAGTGTATGGGTTTGAAAAGCCAGATAATTTCAGGCGCTGCACGTCATGCTAATTAACTCGACACCATTGTTAGGATCGTGTTTAATTAATAGAATTTCGAAAAATCCGCGTTCCCTTGATGCCTATTAGAGAAGGGTGAACGTGGATTACATCAACCCTATTTATCGTGAATGACATCACTGGATCGATCATTAACGTAAGATTTCTCGTTGTTGCACACGGCGAGTGTTCCTCAGAACCAGGGACGCATTTAGAGGGACTTGGAAACGTTTGGTCACATCGATAAGAGGAACGTGACATAGAGAATATTCGCGATTTTGTCACTAGATATATCACTAGACGTAATTACCGAGTTTAATGTGTCAACGAAAGTTCTCTGATATCAAAGCAATCTGACCATGTCGTTCGGCCTCTACTCTGTGTCAAATTCGTGAACAGAGTACTCGATACCGTTTGATGCTTCTGCGAAGTTTATAACAGCGAAGCGAAAATTGATTAGCCAATTCGTAAACGAATTTTCCTCTGAGAAGAAAGAAGAGGAAAAGAGCACCATGTTCCACATCACGTCGGCGCTTATCACGCACACAAGGTGCGCGCAAGTATCCTCGAGTGAGGACATGTCTCCACGTGCCAGGCGCTCCGTCTCGCCGACCATGTGGGTTAATTTAACTCACTATGCCTACCGAAACAGGAGCCTCGAGCAGGGTCTAGACTTTGAAGAGAAGCCGATGGAAGTCTGTCACTCTTTGTACTTCCTGTTGGACTTCTTCCATCAGTACTATATTCCCTCGATCATCCTGCTCGGCCTGGTAGGCAATCTGCTGTCCTGCGTCGTGTTCCTGAACACGCATCTCAGGATACGGAGTTCCAGTTACTACTTGGCCGCTTTGGCCACCGCGGATTTCGGTTTCCTGGTTACCCTGCTGTTAGTCTGGCTGAATAACACGATAGGGTGGAAGGTGTTCAATAAGGACGGTTGGTGCGAGACTTTGGTCTACGTGAGCGCTGTCTGCAGCTCTCTCAGTGTCTGGTTAATCGTCGCGTTCACCGTTGAGAGATTCATAGCAGTTCAGTACCCTCTACACAGACCCCATATATGCACCATCGCCAGGGCGAAGACCATAGTGCTGGTGCTGGTGAACCTGGCGCTGCTCAGTCACTCGTACTCCTTCGTCACGGCTGGGGTTGTTGTGAACAAGGATGGAGAGGAGTTTTGTGACTTGAAGGAGGAGTACATGGAGGTGATGAAGATAATCAGCATCATCGACAGCATCGCTAGTCTCATTGCGCCATTGGTCCTTATCATCGTGATGAACACCATTTTCAGCAGGCGGTTCAAACAGACCTCAACCACCTCTACGGATTGCCCCAGCAGGGAACGATCGGACATCAATCTGAATCAAATCCCGGTGAGTAAGAATTCTTTAGTTGAAATGCCTAATGATCGTCTGGTGATCGTCTATTGATTGAAAATAATCTAACGTGATCTAATTGGTTGAAAATATCGAGCTTAGGTTAGGTTCAATTCATCGCAATTAAACTTGGGAAAGGTAGGGAGATCTACATATTCCAATTATGATATTAAGATTGAGCATTGGGATAACATTTGATTTGGAGATTAGGTTTCTGCGCATCCCTCTCTGTATATACGTGATGTGGAATTTATAAGAAATCCGTGGTAATTAAATTTATTATTTGTACACTTATGATATCAAAATTTCTTTCTAAAATTCTGTTTTTCGAGAAACGTAATTTAATTTGATATTTTTCTTTTAAATTGTAAAGTAGATTGTTTATAATGCATTTAATTAATTATATTAAGCATAAATTTCGAGCTTCGAATTTTCAATATATGAAAATACAACTTGTAAAATATCTCCTTATACCAACTCGATAATTATTTTTAATAATTATTTTTTAGAATTATTTGAAATACGAAATGTACACTATTTGTACCAAAAAGATTGGACTATTTTTAGGATAACCTATTTATTTTTCTTTTCCTTAATAATTTATAATAATTTATAATTAAGTTAAATTCGTACCTTAAGTCAGAGAAATTTGAAAAAGTCGATAGACTTTCGCTAAAAGCAATTATATTATCCTAACAACTTATATCCTAACGGCCGCGATATTATTGAGATAACGCATTAAACCTAACCTCAAAACATAACCCGTCGATATACGCAGTTAACTCGGTGTTTAGGTTGTAAACAAGGAAGCGATCGCTGCCACTTTCCTATATGAACTCGCCGAAATCAATGCCAGATGGTGAACCACTCAATCTCCTTTTTCTTTTAGAAATTGTTTGATAGAGAAAGAACGCGTGTAACTTCTCCGAGCATTCGATATATGTATTTCCAACGACATAGGAAAGCAACGCCCTCTCATCTAGATATTCGACAGTTAATGGACGTCACTATTTTCAATGCAAGCCGTCGGGCTTCAGTCTCGTAACTGGGCTGTTTTCTTGTTTCTCTTGCTTACAAAGCAAACAACCGGTGAGAAATGCACGCTTAAAGATGTTCTCTCTCCGGCGTTGACCTGTTTTTCGAAAGGAACTCGAACATGGTCTCACGTCGAGGTTAGTTTTTCTAATCCGACACTGATATTCGAAGAATCTCCACCAGCCAGCTAAACATTTCCCGAGGATGAAGTGCTCTGACAGAACACGTTATTTAGAAACAAAAATTCTAATTGAATTGGGACTTTTATGTATACAGAGGGTGTAATATAATACGAAGACCTACATTAGGGGCGAACACTATACGAGTGTTTGCACTGGATTTTGTTGTTTTTCAGGATATTTTGAAGCACTTAAAAGTTGACGGAGTGCTATATATATTTGATTTCTATTTCAGCTAACTAGCTCAGTGCTTTGTACTATTTTATCCTAACTATGCGGTATAGTGGAAGTATAGTGAATTATTTATATTTTCCTGAGTGGACGAAGCATAATTAACACTTTGCACTCGAGAGGTGACTCTCACAATCAGTCACCATTTAATTAGATTCTAAAGATCGACGTTAATTAATATATCAAATTTAAAATTACCTAACGATGCGTGGAATGTCGAAGAAAAATAATTCTACGTCTTAATTTGCATATGATTTCTCATTTACCATTTTGAAAATGTCCTCGACTCCATGACAGAAAGTCTTCGAATTACTATTTTTCTCTGACGAAAAAGTCGTCGAGTGCAAGGGGTTAAATATTATATATTTATGGACGAAGCATAATTAAGTATTATATATTTATGGACGAAGTATAATTAAATATAGTTTTTAATAGAGTTAATTTTTAATAGAGCTCGGTATTACAGGTTGAAATGAAGATAATTTATGATGATGTTATTTATATCATATATCATGGCAGTCATTCGATACTTGCATAATGAAAGATTAAATTAACCCCATTTATGGGATACGATTTATGAAATGAAGTTCATTTATATTTCGGATATAATTTCCAGCGTTAATGACCCATCATAAATACTCATAAACGATTATCGTTTCTCGAATAATTTTGAGGTAATATATTTATTTTGAAAAATGCTGCAATTACATACAGATGCAAGCGTAAATAATATACAAAATGTGCAATAGTCTTTGCTGTATTTTTGCTGTAAATTCGCGAAGAGTCAATTTTCTTAGGTCAATAGCATTGTTTTTACTTTAATATTTTCTTGTTTGGCTGTTTGAACTCGTATCGAACAATGAATATTACCAACAGCTTTTTGAGTATTACGATTGTACTAATATTTCGAAATTTTCTGTAGATTTTACTTTCAACCAAATGAAATAACGCGTTTCACTGGCTACAATGGAATAACTCTGTAGGAACCTATTTTTGACTCTGCTTTGTTTCACAAATTGTTCGACCTTTATTAATCCATAATTAACCAAAATTGAAAATTGAAAATAAAATAGTATACATTTAGATGAATTATAGATTACAGAAAAAATAAATTAGAAAGAATAAGGTATTAATAAAGAATAAGGTGTATACGTTTCCTTGGGACACCCTGTATTTGCAAATTTAGAAAATAATTGTACAATAAAAGTTAGGTTAGGTTATAAAAATCGACTTCTTTGGAAATTTTTTCTACGGAAACCATGATGAATTTTGATACGCAGTTTCTACACTCGGATTTATTTATATTTGAGGAATATAAGTTTAATCACGAATTCCCTGTTTCGGAAAATGCTTCTGTGTTTGTTAAAAATTCTCGAAACAATCGGTCAGTGAGAATCGGTGTGCGAAGAATAGCGTTGATTTAACCCTCTATGAACCGAATATATTTTTCTTGACTATAACGTAAAATCAACAAATATCAACCAATAAATTCAGCAGTTTGACAATTTTGTTATAACGAATTCATATTGAAAGTTTAAATTAACAACGTTTGTACTATTGTGCCAAGATAACGTGCAATAGATAGACAAGATAATTTGCCACGCCATCTTGTGGAAAACAGATCATAGGGGGCCATAGAGGACCTAACCTATCATGATCGAATAACTGGTAAATAAAAAAAAATTCGAATTTTTAAAAATGGACCCACGGGAGGTATTGTAAAAATAATTATAAATATATCGAAAGAAAAATTGCGAACTGGAGTGATCAAGCGATAACGTTGAATGCAGGATTTAATTAAATACCCATACATTAGCATGTAACTTGAAAGTTACACGGGTCCATAGAGGGTTAAATTCGAAAATGGTTGTATCGATCGAACAACCACGAAAGGCTCGTAAGCATTTAAAACTGGAGCTTTTCAACATTTATTTTGGAGAGCTTGTCTTACATTGGAAAAGCTTGTGTTCGAATATACGATGGATTCACCGAACGACGCAGTGACTTATAAACCTTTGGCAAGCGAGAACACGGTTTAGCGTTGCGATGTGGGAACGTGTTGTGAACACAAAAATTGTCGAATGGATTTTGCAAATATATTCTCAATTCCCATGAAACACTACGACCTACGATGATGACGTACACATCATCGAAATGATATTTAACTAAAATTAACTGAAATAATGTTTATGATATAAACAAAGGGTTGCATTGTTAAATTTATCAGCGAAACCACTCGTAATTCGTGTAACTTGATCGTGTAGCAGACGTGAAATACACGGATCATTAGCGAAATACGAGAGCCAATTTAACAGTGTAAACGTTGCGTATGAAGATAAAAATTGTTCCAGCTATTCGGTATCTTCGATTATGCAGAGGTGCGTGATTTCTCATGTGACTATCAAATAATATTTTCAAAATTTACTTCGTTCATCTCGACACGTGAAATACGAATTTTTGAAAAATTTTAACCCTTTGCACTTGAGAGGTGACTCTCAGTCATCATTTAATCAGATTTTAATGATCGACCTTAATTAATATATCAAATTTAAAATTACCTAACGATGTGTGGAATGTCGAAGAAAAATAATTCTACGTCTTAATTTGCATATGATTTCTCATTTACCATTTTAAAAATATCCTCCACTCTATGACAGAAAGTCTTCGAATTACTATTTTTCTGTAACGAAAAAGTCGTCGAGTGCAAAGGGTTAATATTTCGGGGAGATTAGGTTTGAATATTGCGATACCCGCACCTGAAACTTTTATTTTTCTTATTATATACCTGATTTTATATATATCCGTCATTTGTGATACACATGTTAATCGTTATGACTTGGTATCGAATTTTTACAAAATGGAGTGTATATTTATATTTTTGAGAGTATATATATATATAATATTTAAATAATTTAATATATATATTAAAATTTACCATTAGTCAACCATTACCACAGCATATACTATAATATACCTGCTTTTTGTGTGTGTATTGTATAAAGAATGATAAAATATAATAATTAATATAGGATAAAAATAATATATACAGTTGCATTTTAAATATATTAATATATATATTAAAATTTACCATTAGTCAACCATTACCACAGCATATACTATAATATACCTGCTTTTTGTGTGTGTATTGTATAAAGAATGATAAAATATAATAATTAATATAGGATAAAAATAATATATACAGTTGCATTTTAAATATATTAATATATATATTAAAATTTACCATTAGTCAACCATTACCACAGCATATACTATAATATACCTGCTTTTTGTGTGTGTATTGTATAAAGAATGATAAAATATAATAATTAATATAGGATAAAAATAATATATACAGTTGCATTTTAAATATATTAATATATATATTAAAATTTACCATTAGTCAACCATTACCACAGCATATACTATAATATACCTGCTTTTTGTGTGTGTATTGTATAAAGAATGATAAAATATAATAATTAATATAGGATAAAAATAATATATACAGTTGCATTTTAAATATATTAATATATATATTAAAATTTACCATTA